GAAAAGTGTCAGTTAAAGGAGTCTGGGCAAACCAAATAACGATCCTGGGGGTATTTATAACAGTCTGCTTGTATTGAAAACTTTTTCCAATAGAAAATCTTACTAAAAATGAAAGTGTTAACTGGAGTTTAGCTTTATTTTTTTCCCCTCTAAAGTCCAGTTAAAATGAATAGTTCATCTAAGACTGCTGTGTCTAAAGGGTGACAATTTTGCTGTGTGAATTAATTGCAGATCAAACAATGTTTCACCCAGCTAAAGGAAGTATAAAAAGTTAAAGATCTACAGTAACATGTAATAACATGTAACATGAAACAAAGCAGGAAAGGGGGGGGGGGGGGGGGGGGGGGCAGAAAGGCAAATACTGCTGTTTTAATGCTACTTGAAGACTGCACAATATATGCATTTTTTTATTTTGCCTATATTTACACTTTAAGAGCTCATCTACATTTGCTTCAAAATGTAGCATTGGACAAACTTTTTTAAAGCACTCTGAATGCCAATCAAAGCACCTGTCACTAAATGAAATTGTAAGCTTACAGTCCTGTTTACACATTGGGTTTGCATTGCTTTGCTTCAAACATTACACTCCATGTTGTTTTATTGGTGTTTTAAAGCATCTCCAAAGCAGGTATGAGATATTTCAGGATGCACTGGGAAACCAACAAGCGAACCAGAAAGATGTCATCAGCAGTCACTTCCGATTCTTGTGTATAGAGTCTGGAAGTGTCTGGTGCAGACATCACATCTGGTACACAGCGCAGAGAATCAGGAAGGCGAACTGAGTCCGGAGTGGAGCAACTATCAGATGGCACACGTGGTGTGCAACATGGGAACACTATAGCAGAAGGTGAGCAGGGACAGGAAAGAGAGGATTGGGAAGCAGAGGATCAGCAGAGCAGGGGGACTGGAGCAGGAGAAACTAGCCATGTCACATGTGCTGTGCAATGTGGGAGCAATTAACCGGAGGTGAGAGGGGACCAGAAAAGAGAAGGATTGGCAAACCAGAAGATCTGCAGAGCTGAGGGTTACTACTGAGTAGGGGATCAGCAGAGCTGGGGTTTACAATTGTGTGGGGGATCAGCAAAGCTAGGGGTACTACTGAGTAAAGCACCAGCAGAGTTGGGGGTACTACTGAGCAAGGGATCTGCTGAACAGGGGTACTAATCTTCTGGGGATCTGCTGAACAAGGGTACTAGTGAGCTGGAGATCTGCTGAATGAGAGTATTACTGAGCTATGGTTCTACTTGGCCAAACAAATAGAAAGTCAACAGACACACAGGGGGCATTTTCCAGGCTTCATTAAAGCTTCAAAAAATCATCACCGAAGCCTCAGTGAAGCATCACCTAAGCATCAAAAACACATACAGTAAAAGAAGCATGTTTAAGCACTTTCATGTGAGTTAAAGTCAAAGCAAGCGTAAATGAGTCCTAACAGTTTGAGTGGAAAATTTACCCTCATAGGTGAATACCTCAGAGCAGTGATTTATTCTTTATCAAACAGCTTCTTCTGAAGTTTTCATGACAGCCAATTTTGCAGAAAAGGTGTCATTTTACTGTATGGTGTCTTTTTAGATAACCCATTATGCTCTGGTAATTCTTTGACATGTCAAAATGTTATCCCAACAATGTGCTCATCTAAATGAGCATGAGACAGCTCCTCCACTGTCCACCTGTGTGACATCTGCCTGTTTATAGCTCTTTTTCTTTTTACACCCTCACATAAAATATGTTTAGTATGTTTGGGCCTTGACCAGACTGCTGCAGTAGTATCCAGACGGTTAACATTTATCTTTATGCTTTATCCTATGACCACAGGGAGGGAAAAAGAATTAATTTAAATGTGGGGGATCTGGTATATTAATTTGTCTAGCAGCATGAATAAATCTGTGCTAACATGGTGTAATGTTCATGATATTTATCTGAAATGTACAAATTTAAAGAAGTATTTATTTTTCCATATATAGATACAGCTGAGTTCAAACGAGTCCTAAACTCCACATGACTCGAGAAAGATTTTTATCGCTTTATGCGAGGAGGCGCTTTGAAATATTGATTTTATTATCATTTCTTATCTAAGCAATGAAATATTTAAAGTATCTTCCAAAATATATTAAGATTATTTCAGCCTGGAGGAAGAGTACTACTGCATATGGTATTTATTCTGATTCCATTGGTTATACCCTAATTCGAGCAAAACTTCAAACAGATTTAAAGAATGTAGTTTAGTTTGGGGCAACCTAAAGTGTTATCTATGACCCAAACATTTTTTCTTTCTTCTTTCTTTCTTCTTCTTTCTTCAATCTTTGTAGAAAACATAATGTAGGGCAGGAAGCGTACTGACTATGGTCTGTTGACAACACCATGCGCATCATCCTGGGAAATAAAGCATTTTTCACTCTATAGTTGGTCTCCTCTACTCTCTTCCACAGAGGAGTAGATGTTTTAAACAACAAAAAAATTAGAAAGATACACTGGGCTGAGAAAGCTTGGCTGCTTGGCCTAGGAAGAAGACCTGAGCAGAGTACAGACTCAATGGGATTGGTTTACTAAAGGCAAATAGACTGTTCACTTTGCTAAGGATACTGCACTTTGTAAGGGAATTAGTCCAAAGAAGATAAAGCTGTGTCCCTGAATGGACTCAGGGAAAAGGAGTTTATGGTGAATCCAACAAATCCTACTTTCTTTATACTCCATTGAGGGACACAGCTTTGTGGATAAAAAGAGATGTTCAAAAGCAGTCCAAACAAAGGGGCAGCACACCAATACAAACAAAACAAAAAAAAACCCACAAAAAGGGGAAAGCAAGGGCAATAAAAAGCAGCTAGTAGAATATTTCAGCCAAAACTAGCATCTGAAGAAGAAGATAGGACCTTGTAAAACTTAGAGAATGTGTAAACAGAAGACCAGGTTGTAGCCTTACAGATCTGAGACAAAGAAGACTGATGTCAGAAAGCCTAGAAAGTACTTATTGCTCTAGTGGAATGCCCCTTACCCTTTCTGCTGCTACAGACGAATGTTACATGTTGGCAGAAACAAGGTGATTTTGCACACAGTTCTGGCTGCTGCAGCTGCCAGGAGTACCGTAAGTGTAAGTTTGACAAGGTGCAAGTATTCAGCCGACTGTACAGATCCCTGGCAGTAACACCCAAGCACTTAACCCCCTCCCCCCATAAAAAATGTTTGAGCCCCCCTATCCCTATGTACACATACAAAGGTAAACATGCATTGGGGGTGCTTACGTACAAAAACGTTGATGGCGCTACATGTTACATATTGCCCTGCACACAAAAGTGAGAGCAATAATTCTAAGGTCATTATTCATGCTTAACTCCAAACCAGGGGTCTCCAAACTGCAGCTCTGGGACCGGATGAGGCCCTTTCTTTGCTTTTATCTGGCCCTTGAGGCATTATTCCTCCCGCTGATACCAATGACAGGGCACTATTCCTCCCACTGACACCATTGATAGGGCACTATTCCTTCCACACTATTTTCCCACTGATACCAGTGATGGGGCACTATTCCTTCCACTGACACCAATAACGGGGCACTATTCCTCCCACTGACACCAATGATGGGGCACTATTCCTCGCATTGACACCAGAGATGGAACACTATTCCTCCCACTGATACCAATGATGGGGCATTATTTTTCCCACTAATGATGAGACAATTTATACTCTTATTGACACCAGAGTATTTTCTACTTTCTAATAATTTCCACTGGCCAAATTCAGCCCCCTCAAAGTCTGAAGGACAGTAAGCTGGCCCTTTGTTTCAAAAGTTTGGAGACCCTTGCTCTAAACCAATGAATTCTAAGGCTTTTAAAGTGGGAGTAAACTCCTACTAGACACCTGTACCTACATGTAAGCTTATAATAAAGCGTACCTGTAGGTACAAGGAATATCTCCTAAACGTGCACCATTTACGAGATATTCAGTGTCGCTGCAGCCAGTGACATCACTGGCACATGTGCTCTGAAGGAACAACTTACCCATGCTATTTCTTCAGAGCTCTGTGCCACAGTCAAGACTCCCACATGCATGATTGGGAGTGATGTCATTGTGGCTTGGCCAATCAAGCAGTTAGAACCCCTGAACCCGGAAAGAAGAGCAGGTGAAGATGGAAGCTGTTGGCAGTGACAGCTCTCTGTTGGAGGACTTTTTTTCTAAGGTAAATCTTTGATTATTTGCATACTAACACATTATGACTTTACCTTGCAAGAAGATTTTTTTTTAGGGCAAGTTTACTACCACTTCAAATCATTGCCTAGAAAAGTTTGAGTAACAAAGTTTGTTGCCATTCCAGGTGCGTATACAACTTTAAGGCTTGCCATGTTGGCTATTTATTTACTCAATGCAACTTCATCTTTTATATTTTACCAAAAATGGGTAGAACTTAGTGAATGAGGTGAAACTCTCCTGACTTCCATCATCCAATTCAAGTTCAAGCAAAGTCCTGTTTTTTTTAAATTTTCCTCATAATTGGGTATTCTTTGCAAAGTGAAATTTCACAACATTCAATAAGCTCTAAGAATAATTCCCATAAACAGGGTTACTAGCATTGCAAAGTACAACTTCACTTGCAAAGTAAACAACCTATTTGCTTTTACTAAATCAACCCCAATGTCACATTGTCAGAGTCAGGTGTTTGTGACTGCGACCATGAAAGTGACTTTAGCCATGTGGCTAAAAATCCAAGACATATTTTGTAGGTTAATGAGTCTTAGGCACCATTCACGCTAGCGCATTTTGAACCATAAGCAGAATCGCCGCGATTCTGCTCGTGATTTCAAAACGCTGTGCTAAAATGAAAAATTGCGGACCGCATTTTCAGGTGCCATTCATTTTAATGGCACCTGAAAATGTGGTGATATTCTGCCACGGTTAGGTTACTTAGTATTAAAGAGCAATGTTCATATGAACCTGTATTTTGCCTCTTAGACCTTGTTCACACATGCTTAACCTCCCTGGCGGTATTCCCGAGTGTAGCTCGGGGTAAAATTTCAGTACCAAAAGCGGTATCCCCGAGCTACACTCGGGCTTACCATGCGGCGTTGCTCAGGGATTCCCTGCAGCGCTTACTTTGTCCTTCGCTCCCACGATGCATCCCCTGCAGCATCCCCGGCCATCTCCTCTGACCGATGCCGGCATCCGGCTTCCATGTCCTGGTCCTTGCAAGCGTCGGGACGTACGGGACTTATGTGGGCTGGAACTGGCGGCAAATTTAAAAATGTTAGAAACTGTCATTTTCTAATAAATGAATATGACATAGTAAAACATTACTGTTTCAAAGCAATTCACATACATTTTGTCCCTGCTGCTTTGTCCTCTGCCCTGCCTGCATTTTGACTGTTCTTTCTGCCTGGAAACTTAGAAAAGTCCATGGCGTCCAAAAAGCGTCCCTTTAGGTCAAAAGCGGTTTTAGACCAGCTAGAGAACAGGGATAGTAAATCAGAACCACTTGCAGAATTGAGTGATAATGATTTGTGGGGAAATTCGTCATCAGACACTGAAAACGATTCTGCGACTTTGCTCAGCTATGTGCAAACTTGGCGCTCTATTTCAAATTTCAGTGTTTTTGGTTTGATTATATTATTGAATTCAATTTATTATTATTATATTATTATTTTTTTGTATGATTACTTATTAAATTATAATTTATGGTTTCGTGTTTCAAGTTTTATCCTACCCGGAATGTTTACTAGACTCTTGTTCGGACAGATTTCAGTGAGTTATTCCTAAAAATGACAGGCCTACAATATAATACACCAAATTTCCATGCAAAATAATGGTACCGCTTTCAGCACCAAAAATCTGAAATAATCATACCGCCAGGGAGGTTAAACAACAGATGTTTGGTCATATTACTGAGATCGCCAAACGCTTTTCAAAGCCAATGAGTATACTTTACTCTGAGAGCAAAGCATGTAGTACACATGTAAAATCATCATGGGTTTGTATTGCTTTGCATCATGCTTACAACATTTGGCAAAAGATGACAATGCACTAAGCTTGCCAAACACCTCAATTCAAGTCAATGGAAGTGTGGTGTAAGAACTAGGGACCGTCTCTCTGGTATGTTTTCAGGGCACAATGGCTGCAATAAATTTGGCTACACTTAAAGTGATTCTAAATCAATTTATTTTTCTTTAAAAAACAAATATGTCATATTTACCTGCTTTGTAGATTGATTTTGCACAGAGCAGCTCCGATCCTCCTTTTTAAGGGTCCCCTGCCAGTGCTTCTGTTGCCTCCCCCTGCAGAGTGCCGCCATAGCAAGCTGCTTGCATGGTCCCACCCACTGCTCAATCCTCACTGGTTGTGATTGACAGCAGCAGGAGCCAATGGCTCCTGTTGCTGCCTCTCTGTCCAGTAAGGAGAGAGAGAGAGTTGATAATGCTGCTGCTCTCGTGCACAGCACTGGATCGAGATTGGGCTCAGTTAGGTATTTAGGGGGGCTGCAGGGAGGGGAGCTGCACAGAGAAGATTATTTGCTTTAATGCATAGAGTGCATTAAAGTAAACAAAATCAAAAACCTTTAGAATATTTAGAACCACTTAAAGCAGCTCATAGATTATGCAATTAATGCTTGATTGCCCCATCAACACAGTCAGTGTTGGCTGGGGAATCCCTCCCTCAGCACTGTTGTGTTTTGCCGATGAGGAGCCCTCCCTGCCAGCAGAACACAAAGATCACTGCTGTTGGCTATAGCTACCAGCAGTGATTGCACGAAAAACAAATCAGACAGGCTGGCTGTACTGAAGTCGATCAATGGATCAACTTCAGTACAACCAGCCTGCCAATAGATGGATCGAATCTCTCCCAGTCCCTGCTGAACCGGTCAAGATTCAATCCATCTATGGCCTGCTTTAATCTTGCAGCAGAACAGTACTCAGAACTGTAAAATCCCCTTGTCCTCAGCTATAGTGATGCATATCTGAAAAAAGAGGACTGGTAAGAAGTCTTCAGGCATATATTTATTGTAGAATGGGCCTTTCTTCTAAGGAGAAGATTAAACAAAGTATTTAAAAGGATATTGATTGTTTTCATTTGTTCCTTTTCCTTATGCTAGTTCCTCACTTTGTGTTTTTGATTTCTTTCAATCTACTTTGCCAAAATTAAGCTAACACTTGTGAATGAGGCCTAATTATTTATTACAATTTCTAAAACTGTTTAAAAAACAAAGTTAGCAGTATATACATAAACAAGAAAAACATCTACGGCTTAACAAACTATATAACTATTGGTAAACTATATTAACTATAACTACTGTATAAACCATATAACTAAAGAGGTATTGATATAGAAATATTAGAGGTATTAACATAGTAATTTTAAAACCTCCCTGTACTATGGTTTACTAGATTTTATATTAATGCAAATATTATTGTTCAATAAACAATGTAAAAACCTCATGGAAATCCCTGTGAGACCAATTTAAAAGCGATCTAAATGTGATTGTTAAACAGCCAAGTGGATCTGGTACGCGGAAAGTGAGAAGGCACATCTACAGTACTTTAATGAGTTGCGATTTTTGAAGACTGTCATGGAAATGTGGCAGCAAGTGTTTTCTCTTTTCATTGAATTAAAATGTATGTATAGACAAAACTTTTTTTTAGGTTTGGATAGAGTGAGAAAGAGTTAACTCCTCTGTCTAGTTTTTAATTGTGTCTGTGCTCCCATTTGAGAGATTTACATCTCTTTTTGTCGTGCTGACCACTGTCACCAAGAAAGAAAGTGAGGGAAAACCAAAATGTTAAAATTGTTCTCAGAAAAAGTGATGAGTGGAGATCTTCCAATGGGGGCAACTTTTCTGGGGGCCACTTTCTAAAAGGGGAATTCCTCTCACTTTGGGAAATACCTCTTACTTCCTGTTGTTTGCTTGGGACTGGAAGTGAAATGGTAAAATGTACACAAACAGCAAAAAAAAAAAGAAAACCAATCACAGTGTATTTAGTCCTTCCATATTTTATTCAAAATTAAAAGAAAATGTTATTGATTTTAAGAAATCTTCCCAAAGGCTTGAGAAAACTGCAATAAAAGGAACAGGAGAATAGATATATATATACACTTGTATTTTAGAATGTTTAGAACATTGGAGAACCTTGCAGATTGTGACGATAGTATGCATGACTCCAATAAAAAGGATGAACTAGATGTGGAGGAGGAAGATACAGGGGTTGATTTATAAAAATGGTAGAGTGCAAAATCTGGTGAAGCTTTGCATAGAAACCAATCAGCTTCAAGTTTTTTTTTTTGTCAAAGTTTAATTGAACAAGCTGAAGTTAGAAGTTGATAGACTACCATGCACAGCTGCACCAGATGTTGCACTCTACAGTTTTAGTATATTAAACCCCACAGGGATTATTCCTTCTGTACAGTCATCACCTCCACAGTCAACCTCAAGCACTGTGTCCCTTTCTGGGCAAAAGAGTCTGTAAAAAATTCAGGGTTAAAATACAAAAAGCTAGTGAATAACCTTGATACACAGCAAGCACCAACAGAAACAGTGACCATGTTGGAAGAGATGAGAGAACAACTCAGTAAGAAGATCAAGGAAAAAAAAACATCATCATAGGTTTTCTGCACTCATTGAAGTATGACATGAGACAAATTACACAGACTCTCTTTCTGTATATTTTACAGTATATCATGCAGGTGGTCCAACAATAACTTCACATGACACCTCCGCTGCACCATCATCAGACATAAAATTATACCTTTACATCCCTCTTGCAACTATACTTGCATCATCTTAAAAACACTCAGATCCCTACATGGCCACATAGAGGAGCACTCTCAAACACACACATCATACACCACACAAGGTATTCCCTCCACATATTCATCATATTCCACTGACATAACTCAAACCTTGGGATTCATTGCAGGTGACTCAATGCACCTCATTCTCGGATCCATTCTACCATAATCCATAAAGTTAATGCTTGCATACGTGTTTTTTTCATGTTGTTTTATGTTTTCAAGACCCTGGGGAGAACACAAGAAAAGTTCATTAGATGTACATACTCAAGCTCTTTTTTGAAATCTGCTCAGTGTAATCCTACCTGTCAGTTTCAACTCAGGTTCAAATCCACTTTAACTAATTCCAGCAATAGGACATACTCATATGTCCTCGGGTTTGAGTGGCTATACTGCAGCCATGATCCTGGTGTCATTTTAGTGCTGGATATGCTCTTTTTTGTAAAGTGATGAAGTTGTCTATATAGCTGCCCAATCACTTTTACAAGGAGCAGAAGGGGGCCCCCCTCCTGCTGCCATTCTTGGACTCTCCTGTCCCACCAAGGAGCCTGGGGCCGCTGTGGGCAGTCAGGCTGGCTTAGAAGGAGAACATTCCCCAATCTTCTCTATGGTGTATGAAACCAGAAGCAAAAATGATTTTGTCACTTCTGGTTTCGGTTTTTGGTTTACTGGCCTTTCTGGCTAGTGAAGCAACTGATCTTTGTTTGAGAGCAGAGGAGAGACCGAAGTCTAATAGCCCCCTAGACCTCTCAATAAAGAGGACCTGTACCTGCCTAGGCTATCACAAAGAATATTGTTCATCCTTTGTGATATCAATAAAGTTTAAGTTAAAAAATTTGAAAAGTGTACAAAAAATTGTAAATAAAATAAATCATAAATTAAAAAAATATAAAGCACCCCTGTTCCCCCATACTCACGTGCAAATGCGCATGTGCATGTAGGTTTCACATGCATATGTAAACATATGTGAGCTATAGCTACAAACATCAGAGTGAAAGCAATAATCCTAGTGCCATACATCATGTTTGACTCTAAACTGGAAAGCTGTAAATGCATTTAAAGCATTGCCTATGGAGATTTTTAGTTACCGTAGTTTGATGCAACTTCACATTTAAATCTTGACATGTTTGGTATCTATTTACTTGACATAGCATCATCTTTTGCATTTTACCAAAATGTTGGTATTGTATTGTATTTATGAGCACTACAATTCATTTAAATGTATTCTTTCCTAAAAATTTGCATTTGATAAAGGGCTGAACAAATATCATGTGACAACCACCATTTTATTCTCCAGAGCATCTGCTTTCAGAAAATATATAATGTTTAAGGGTTCTAAGTAATTTTCTAGCAAAAAAATGCTGTTTTTAATGTGAGAAATGTCAGAACTGCCATGGGTAGAGACTGGTTAAGTACAAAATGTTTAGTAACAGCAGTCCGTATGCATTGCAGGGAAAGTTGCTGAACCAAATTGCTTACAATTTTTGTATGAAGTGAATCTTCTGGATTTGCTGCAAATTTAGACTTGAGCTATTACATTTGCTCATCTCTGAAAATGTATATGCTTTTCAGTGGCCCACTGCTTCTCAGAGATACAT